TCCGCCTCGCTTTACAAACCCCGTCATTAGTCATCAAGCCCTGTGATTGGATATTGGAGTGGCAGTGCGACAAGGTTACGCTGAGCGTCAAACAGCTCTATGAAATGGAATGGAACCACGGCAGACTTTCCAAAACTACACATGCTGGCTATTGTGTGTTTCACAACATGTTCTATGGCACGTCTCTTTATAAGACGTATTTCCCACAATTAGAAGTTGCCAGTATTCAACTGTGTACACCCTGGAGGTTTAGGGGATACGAAACACAGTGGTGTTATCAAATTTAAAACATATAATTAATAAATGGGTGAATTAATATACCCACATGACACCTAAGGTCAGAAGAGCTTTATTTAACAGCTGGTCTTATGTCTGTGACCCCTTCTGTTGTTCATTGATAAGCCTGAAATATGCACTTGTATAGGTTCAGAGGCACATTTTGCAAATATGGCAGTAGCCATCGATCATCTTAAGATAAGATAAGATATACTTTATTGATCCCGAGTTGGGAAATGTTTTTGTTACAGTAGCATGTACTACTTTGTTCTACTCCACTACAATTCAGAGGTTAACCTGGTATTTTTACTCCACTACATTTATTTGAGTTACTTTGCAGATTCTGATTAATGATGTGAAATATAAACAACCCTTAAATCAGACTTTAGTTACACCTGAGTCAAATTCAGGGAAGGTCATTGTCAAGTGCCAAAATAAACTATGCAATATATTGGACGTTAAGTACTTTGTCAGACTTCATATTTATCTGTGGATAACCCCAACGTTTTTTTCTTATTCAAAAGAAGACCTTAACTTAAAGTATTCTTTAATGTTTGAATAAAGCCTTATTAGTTTGTCTGTTTTGCACATCCTCCTGTTAATATCTATCGTCCTGCACTAAACGGTTTTATTGTAGAGATCACTACAGTATCTTCTTGATCTTTTCTATTCTATATTTCTATCATGCCTTCTACTTTCCCCCAATGTTGTATGTAGGCTACTCTTAATATTTAAATGGTTTCATCAAATAAAACTTATTCAACAACAACATTCAATAACGGGCTTTAACCACTAGGCGGTGCGGGTTAAAACACCAGTGGTCTAGTTAATAAAACATAATATCAAACATAATGACTATTAACTTTATTGTGAAATTAAAACAGAACGGTAAAGGAAAATACAGTTTCAGTCTCTCGATTTCAAGCTTATGCATTGTACCATGAACCTGTATAGACCTGTAACAGTCAACTGCATGAGGAGTTGGAAAGGTAGTAAATAATATCTTTAAAAACGACAAAAGAATCCCTTTCTATCAGCTGTGCACCGTTATGGTGTAAATATAACCTATATACCAATTGGATCAAATATAAAAGTCAGCCGAATTAGTGTTGATACTGCAAGGAGACGTATTGTGTGAAAAGAAATGTAAGATGTTGTTTAATTGCTAATATATTAATGATCCACGTCATGTATTCAGTTTTGGCGGCATTTCTTACAGTTTGTCAAAAGGTCTTCTGATCAGGGCTCTATAAATACATATCTACGGCAGATGTGTAATATTTAATGCAGCCGAACCGTGTATTACAATGCCGTTATGTGATGACTTCCAAAGAGAAAAGCAAGAACACTCAGTACTTTTATTTAAAAAAATAAATAATCCGATTTCACATCATATAAACACCATATCCCGAAATGCATTGCGGCTAAAACAATCGATGTTTTAGCCTATCAAAACCTCTGAAAAAAGAAAGGTGTCTCTCAGAATCGAAAGAGAAAAACCTATCGGAAAAACACAAAAGCATTGTACACAATTTAAACCAATAAATGTCGTATACAGTAATTAACAAGGACAAACTGATGTTTTTTAGTTGATGAGTACTGCAGATATCACTGTTAAATCATTTGATCATTGGTTTTATTATGAAAACGTCGAGACCGGAAATACTGTTTTCACCCCGTAACTTTACATGGAGGCTGCCGCATACCTCAAATCATCTTCGTAATATCTATCAAACTATAGATCCTACATATCGACTGGACGTGGATTCTAAAAGTACAATATACACTTCTCGCTAGAAATCTAATCAAAAAGCGTTTTAATGGCCAAACTATCCTACAATTTAGGATTTTGCAGAGAGGGTTATTTGTGAATAAACGTCCATCTGTAACGTTTGCATTCAACGGGAACACTAGAGGGCGAAAGCTTTAAAACGTAATTATAGGACGTAATTATAGGACGTATTAAGCGCTTGAACAAACAACATATTTGGTCGTAATAAGGGCATGAACAATCGGCCCATTTGGTCGTATGAGTTGGAGGACTTGTTGTGAGATTAATGCCAGTGGATAGGTACTTTTGTTATTATTATTAAGGTGGGATTGGGAGCATTAATGTACTCGGAAAATGACATGACCTTTAATATTACTGTATGGTAGAATATTTGTCCTGGTACAGCTCACAGTTTCAAAATAAAAAACACTTTATCCTCTGGGGAGCATGAATGTTCTCAGTACATTCAGATCCATATTCTTTGTTCATGTTTACAATCAATCTATAATTTATCCATACTGACTGTAAAAAACAATACTTTTATTATGTTGGTGTTTCTGTTTGAATACACTGTATTATTTTATTACTACGTATTTTACTTTGTATTTCCATCCTGGAGTACTGACACCGCCTCAGTGGATATTTTTCTCAATTTCTTCCCATTCAAAGGTTTTTGGCTGTGACGAATGGGCAGTAAACACAGGAACAGGAAGTGGGCTATATCTCAAAATTGCTCAGTGGGTAGACAAGTCCTAATTGTATCTGTGTGAAGTGTTCACGGGTTGACGCGCTTTTTCTCGGCACCTTGCAGCTATATTTGGCAGCTACAGTTAAGACAGGTGCAGGTGCACTGCTGTGGTATACAATCACCAACCAGCACAAACACATCCCAGCTACTGTCCATTACAGCACTAGTCCTAACATGTAGCTGATATAAAACTGACATGATGAGGGTAACATGTGTACAGATCAGTGCATTCAGTGTATCTTGGTCCCTTCAGAGAGCATTTTCTGTTTTGTCTGGAGAAAAAAGAGTGTACTGCTGTGAGCATAAAAGCCCAAACAAGACATCTGTCACTCACCTCACAGAAATGACACACTTGGTCTTTTGGCTTGATATGTTTTATATGAGCAATTATTTATATATTAAAATAACAGTCTGATGACTAAGTGCATAGTTCTTTGCATTTGTTTTCCTTCATTCATAACAAAACATCATAGTACACCAATCATGAACAGTGTTTTATTTCAGTCGACACATCACAAGATTTAATTTGAAATGTACTTCAAGCTGTACATGTGGAGAACACATCCATTATTTTCAAAACATTTATGACAGTTTTATCCAATATTCATTGTAAATATAGACACTGTATTGATGGTTGTTGGCGGCTGGTCCACTAACGATGAAGACAAACTTCTGGATGGCCATGGAGTGTGGAGACATTCATGATCCTCAGAGGTTGAATCCTACTGACTTTTTTGTTCTCCTGACTTTTCAGGAGTTTTTACTTATCTAGTGGAATATCTTAACATAAAATAAATAATTGCACATCAGATTGTCATGGTTCCTCTACATCTACAGTGAGGCAACATTGGTGACATCTTAAGCAGTGACGGCTGGCCACTGCTTAGGGCACCGCCTTCCATAAACCACACACAAAAACATTATTATTATTATTAATAATAATAATAATACTAATACTAATTAATTATATAAATTGTCAATATGTGACCTGTTCCATCGAAACCAGTCGCATTGACCCGAAGACACATTTTGAGTTGTATACACTGTTGGAAAGAGGATATTCCTAGCTTTCTAATGATATCAGGATTGTTTTTGTACTCCAAATATTAAGCAAAATATGTCACATTATATAATGACTGTCACCGAGTCATCATTTTGAGAAAAAGGCCTTCAAAGTTTCCTCTTCTCTGGAATCCATCGATCTGATTGGTTATTAGCGGAGCAAATGATCAAAATAATACGGAGGGAAGATATTTTCGTTTGGATTGCTGGTCTGGGGGAAGCCCGCGAGTGTTTGTGTATACGTGTGTGTGTGTGTGTGTGTGTGTGTGTGTGTGTGTGTGTGTGTGTGTGTGTGTGTTTGTGTAATTTTGCGTTTGTGTGTATTGTGTTTGTTTCCCGGGGAAAACATCTGAATTTATCATCTGAATTTGCCCAAACAAGTTTAATATTCTGAAAGCCAAGACTTTGTTTAATTGAAATCAGATGAAAACAAACTGTAACGGACCCTGCGGTGTTATCTATGATTACTATACGCCTTACATTCATAATTTCAGCAGAGGGAGGGGGGGCGGCGCTGCGGAAGAGCAGATTGCGAGTGAGAGGTGTCATCTTCCCTTTACAAGCTTCAAAAATGTATTTATCGTGTGATTTTGGAAATAAAAAATTCATATTCTGAAAGCCAAGACTTTGTTTATTTAAAATCAAACAAAACACCCGAACCCTGAAAAACTATTTTTTTACGCAAATCCACGTTTATTTTGAAATTAGTCGTTGCGACTTCCCACTGATTTCGATAGAGCGGGTCACATATTTGTGTGTTTAAAATATGGAATGCACCCAGATTTAAAAGTAATTAGCGCAATATATATGCTTTTCCTAGTACACCGTATGACTGAAGTACTGTGCTGGGGCGATGGAGAAATAGCCCCACGGAGGCGGGTCTCTGTAGCAGGTTCGCCAATAGCTTGGTTTCAGTCACGTGACTTCTATGACGCGCGAAATTCAAGTGGAGGTCAGGAAGTGAAAACGCAATCATTCATCAACGCAGGAATCATGGAGGACACCGACTATGTCAAACAATTAAATGAACCTGCACGCCGCATATATCGTGAAAAAATCACAGCACACATCGGATACGATCCGTATCAGCTGAAAAAAAACGACTTTTCTCGTGATTTATCCGATTTGCCCGCTGTCCAGGCGATGGATATCACCAGCTACCTCGTCCTTCATACCTCCTACTACACGGCTAGCCAGATGAAAGCGTATAAAAGCCTGGAAGCTTTCAACTACTTCGTGTGTGGATGGGTGAATGACCTCGGCACCAAAGAGGCATTAAACAAATGTCGCCTTGTTTTTGCCCGGGTGAGTGTTAACTACCTATACCTTCTTACCTCTAAGTAGCATTATTAGGAGACATCTAGCTAGCTAACTTTAGCTACATGGACTCATGTAAGGCAGTGTTACGGCTGTCGCCTTGCCTTCAGCATTAACTGGCCTGTGAGTGTGTTGTGTGTGTATATATGTGTATGTTTGGTATGTGTTTAGCTTAGGATATATTGTGTTTTGTGTGTATAGACAGCTCAGAGCCTTTGAACAGCCTGCACGTTGTTTATATCACTCTATGTTGAGGTTAATATTAAAAACAACCTCTTTACCAAGACCATCTGGTTATGTGTTGCTTGTGATGTTGTTAAATGTATGTTACCAACTCGCAAGTTGTGAACTGGAGCTTCAATTGTGTAGGTTAACCATTCCCAGAGGTCTGGAGAAACACCATTAAAAACGTGGATTGTAGCTAAAGAAGATGGAGAGGTTGTTACAGCACACTGTAACTGTATGGCTGGGTAAGTCATAAAATAAATATCCCAACCCAAAGCATATTTGACACAACACTTAAGCTCAGACAAAATAATGCCTGCTATAATATTCATGTTATACCATTACTAGCTTTTACGATCAATCTAGTTATTCTAGTATGTCTCTGTCTATACAGTTTGTCAGAATCCTGCTCACATGTTGGAGCAGTTCTGTTTGCAATCGAAGCAGGTGTGAAGATGAGAGAGACTGCATCCTGCACCACTGAGAAGTGCAAGTGGCTAATGCCATCACATGTCAAAAAGGTATTCAGACCCCAGTGGTCAGTCAGCTGTTCATGCCGTCCTTGCCTGTCTCATTGTTACACTGCACCTACATTTATGTTCACATACATGTTGGTCTGTCTCTCACATGTGCAGATTCCTGCTGCTCCAGTTGCGATGATAGACTTTTCATCCGCAAAATCCAAAAAGCAAAAACTGGATGATGCCATTGCTGGAAGGACAGGTGAGAAGCACACATTTCAGCGTCCCACAGTCCAGGGTTCAAAATTGGAGCGAGGATCAGAGAGGTATATGCAGTTTTTCAAGACTTTGAGCAGAAATTCCCCAAGAAGTGCTGCACTGATGTCCAGGGAACCATATTACAGAGAATTTGTCCCTAAATCTGTGAGCAAGCTACCTAAACCACTACCTCAGTATAGGACACCAGAGAAGCTATCCCCAACAGAGTTGCAGAATGCATGCCAGGACTTCAGACAGGAAGAGCTGACACAGCCACAGGTCCAGGCAGTAGAGGAGGAGACCAGAAACCAGAGCTTATCAGCAATATGGTTTAGCCAAAGAGCAGGAAGGATCACAGCCTCAAGACTGAAACAGGTTCTACAGACTAGTCTTGCACAGCCATCAAAGTCCTTGATCAAGTCCATATGCTACCCAGAGGCATACAAGTTCTCTACAGCTGCAACAAGGTATTTATTAGGGATTAGGGAGCCAATCAGAAAAGCAAACTGTATACAGTTTTTCTCAGACGCGGAGGGATACCGACTTGTTGTGAAAAGTAACTTACAATTCTACCCGTGGTATACGCTGATTATATCACGTATATCAGTAAGTTACAGTACAAGTAACTTATAACTAAATTCATTATAAAACATGATTCACAAAATATTCAATGCATAAAAATACAGAGTGTGTGTGTGTGTGTGTGTGTGTGTGTGTGTGTGTGTGTGTGTGTGTGTGTGTGTGTCTGTGTGTGTGACTGACAGGTGTATGGATGCAAATACGAGGCAACTGCCCGAAAGCAGTATGAAGGAGTACAAAGTCTGCACCACCAGGGTTTCAGCTGTAAAGACAGCGGGCTTTGGCTGAACCCTCAATGGCCATACATGGGAGCGTCGCCAGACGGAGGTGTCACGTGCACCTGCCATGGAAACTGGTAATCTGGTGAGATAAAGGTAAGTTATTTGTTCAGTATTGTGCTACAGTAAAGCGGGTAAGTATAGGATTGTGACGTGATCCTGAGTCTGGGGATCCTCTCCCAATACATTTTGAGCTGCAGACACTTATTTACAGTACAATATATTACTTTTCTTTTCATTGAACTTTTAGTGCCCACACAGCAAACAAGAGGAGGCCAATCTTCGCCTGTGTGCTGGAGAACAGGGCTTCTGTCTCGTCAACGATGGGGGCACTGTGAAGCTGGACAGGAGACATGCCTACTACCATCAAATACAGGCTCAGCTCCACCTCGTTGATGTTGACTACTGCGACTTTGTTGTCTGGACTAAAAATGACCTCTTTGTAGAGAGAATTGTGCGTGATGTGGACCTGTGGGACAACATCATTCCCAGAGTTGAGCGTTTCTTCAGACTGTGTTCTCCCTGAAGTGTTGGGACAGCAACTTACAAGGGGAAAGGTAAAAGTCATAAAGAGTTGGTGTGCTCATTTTTTTCCACAAGAACATGATAGTGCATAACTATCAGGTGACTAAAAGCCTCCTCTCCCTGTCTGCTGTTCCATTTTTCAGTTTCAGTTGCAAGATGATCAGGAGGGAGAGAAGGCGTGATTACCAGCACCTGTGGTCTGTCCTGGTCCCGGAAGTTGTGGTTCTCTCCTTGTTGCATTATTATTACGTGCCGTAGTGGGTGCTGGTGTTTGGGTGTGTGTGGGTGTCTTTTTCTCTCTCCCTCTGATCTCCCCAGGTGCTCCCAATCTCCAATCAGCGCCTCCATATAGGACATGAGGAAGGTTGCAGTCGCTCTCCCCTTATCTTAAGCTTTGTTTGACAAGTTGGCTGGTGAGCCCTTTTTCGTTGTGTTAATTAAAAGACCACTTTATGGCGTCAGAGATCAGTTTCCTCTCCTTTTTCTCTCGGCCGGTTATGTTGTGTGTCGCTACTTCCCTTTGTACCCCTATATTTACAAGGGAACGTAACATTTGCACAGTGGCAGCTCTTTAACCCGCATTATAGCACCTTCATATTCACTGACCACACTCACTAGAGGAAGTAGGGCTGTGTGATATATTGCTATTGTAAAAAATATGTTTACTGAAAAGATTAAATGATACTAAGACTGAATAATACATGGTTTCTTATTTACATTTACAATAACCTCAATGGCCATATATGGGAGCGTCACCAGACTAATTGTCATCTCTAGAATATTGTTGAATGAATTAAGCCTGAATGTAGATGAAAGTTGTATATTGAGTAGGGCTACACAATTTTCAACACAAAAAGATGTTTACTGAAAAGACTTGAACACAAGATGTTTGAACACAAAAAGATGTTTACTGAAAAGATTAAATGATACTGAATAATACATGGTTTCTTATTTACAAGACTACAGCTCCATGACTTTACTCCAATGGGACGACAGACACTGACAGATTAGACAAGGCACAGCAAATAACCCCAATCTTGTCAATTAATGCTAGTGCCTCACCTGGTTTTGTTAGCATGTGCTCTATGGGCACAGCCCTGCTTTGCAGAATCTGATATTTTCTTCTGACTAATCCTATGACTCTTTCAACATGAATACGCACATTAGCTATTTTTCTTGTCTCTTCCACCTCGTATGCTGACAGCTGACTTTTCCCCCTGGTGAATGCAGGCATCTTTAGTGAAGCACAGTCAAATCCCACACTATCGGCAATATCGAACCCACGGTCTGCTAGGACAATATCTCCAGGTAACAGGTTTTTTAGGAGCCCACTCTGTATTGTGATCTGTTTATCACTAACTCTTCCTCCCCAGGCACAAGATATGTAGGTAACATAGCCTTGGGGAGCAACACCAATCAGAAATGTAACAGTATGGTGATGCTTGTAGTTGGACCATGTTTGTGCTCTAGCTAGTAAATTAGAGGGCCTCTCAATAAAAACTTCAAAACAGTCAACAATCACAGCAACTCTACATCCAAATGCCTGTCTGAATCCCATTGGCATTGTAGCTTGAAGTACATGTCGCTCTGGCCACTCAATTATAAATTCTGTACTCTCGTGAAGTATGTCAATTAACTTATGCCAAATTCTAGAAGCAGTGGAGAGAGAGATGTTGAACCTGAAAGCCAAATCTTTCAGAGGGAGATTTAGTCTCAGCCTCAGCAAAACTAAAATGAACTGTTCAAATGTGGAGAGCACAGACATAGGGCCACAGGTGATGTAGGGCTTGCACAGTTGAAAAACCTGAAGTAAAACTAAGAAGTTGGGGAGCCCGGTGTAAAACTTTGTTTTCTCTTCGTTGTTCTCAAAGGACTCCTGGTTGAACTTTGTGTCCAGTGCCTTTGTCCGAAGATCTCCCAGCTCTGTTGTGTTCTGTCTCAGAACATCCTCCATCCTCTCGATGTCCTCCATCGTTAAATCAGTCTGGCATCCTGCATCTGCATACAATATAGCAGTAGCAAGCATAATTAGTTATTTAAAATAGTCAAATATGAATGTGAATTTTTGTGAAGTTATCTTTTTGACAACCTTTTTACAGACATGCAGATTCTCAAATTAGTGCTCTATTTTCTAAACCTAATTCAAAGTTTGCATTGATTTTCTGACAATCACATTTGTAATATTTAATAATAATGCTGGTGGTTAATTTACCTTGTTGGTCATTTAATATCCCACTGGTGTCCTCTGGCTGTGGGCTGTCAGACGGGGGCTGCGTCGGTTCTGGGCTCTCGGTTGTCTGCAGGAGATCCAACAAAGCCTCTGCACATTCTGATTGTCTTTGTTGGTCTTCCTTGAGCTCCATCCTCTGCTCTCGTCGAAGAGATGCCTCTGATCTGGGCTTACTTGTTGTGTGGTAACCGAGGCTAACAGTGGGAGCCCAGTCTACCGACTCAACGTCACCCAAAGCGCTAGGGCACCCTAAAAAGTCCCAACAAAGTCCATATTAGACTACAGGTAACTTAAACATGATCAGTATTACTAAGTAAATACGCATTTAACCACAACCCAATAATACCTAAACAAAGCCACAAAAACCAAGTTAGCTAATACCTCTGATGAAGTGGTCGCTGCAGACCCGTGCATTAGACGACTCTGCTCCTCCCGACCGCAGATGTAGGTTTGAAAGCCATTTTTTCCGGCGTTTTTCGGTTAGCTTCTTAAATTGCTCAGCTTTATGGACGACAACCTTCGGCACTCGGTCAAACCTCTTGTTTTTCTCTCGGCCGGATCGATTGGAACAACCGTAAACTACACAACACACCGGCATTTTCACAATGGTAACAGCAGCTAGATCCTCTGTAGAAAATTACTTCCTGACCTCCAATGGAATTTCGCGCCAAAGGAACGCAACGGTGTGACGTCACGTGAAACCAAGCTATTGCTGATTTAAGATATGAACGTGTGCCATAAACTGTAGCCAATCAGCGTCCTCAAAACTAATACGAGAGGGGCGATTTATCGCCCCAAGTAAGCAACTGCTACTTAGCTGGGCGACGCCCACAGGATTGCGGTGAGGAAACACAATGAGGGGGTGGATAAAAACAGGCATATTTTATCCAAAATAATGAAGTTTTGTGGGGCTTTTGAGTTGGCTTTGTGTGGGCATGACGAGACTGACTCTTCAGTCAACCCTGGCATTTTCAGAGGATTGGTGGATTTTGTTTCCTCCCTGCACACTGTGCTGGAGGAGCACCTGAAGACCGCCACACATTGATTAAAGAATAAGAATAATTATTATTAGTTTGTTACATTTTCAGCTTTTTGTATTACTGTTGATTATACCGTTGTTCTGTGGTATATATATCATATATATATATACATATTTCCATACATATATATTATATACATCAATCATATATATATATATATATACATATATGTATGCAAGTATTGCTAATGCCATTATTTTTAAGTTTGTGTACATAGTCCTCAGTCTCAAATGCTTAAATTGTTTATGGAGGCATTACAATGTAAGACAAGGTAAATTAACACTGAAAACTCCTGTTTTTTTTTGCATTAAGTCACACTGGGATGTTTGCTGAAATTGATTGCATGTGGCACAGCCCTACCTAGAAAATATTCCACCAGCCGCCACTGATCTTAAGTGTGTTCACTTTAGTTTTGACCTCCAAATTAAGCGATTTAGATGAAGTGGTTAAACTGTTGGATTGTTTATATTCTGTATGATCATGTGACTGCAAGTGTTACCTTCCCTGTCTTACATGGTTGTAAGGATGTACACTGCTCAAAACAATTATAGGAACACTTTTTAATCAGAGGTATAGCATCAAGTCAATTAAACTCCTGGGATATTGATCTGGTCAGTTGAGTAGTAAAGGGGGTTGTTAATGTCACAAGTTAGACACTTCTATTATTGTTTGTTTGGTGGCTCAACTAAACTCTCCTGTCATTTCAGATCCCGCCTTCCTCCAGGCCCTTGTAATCAGCTCACTTCCCTCACCTGGTCTCCCCAGCCCTTCCCCTCACCTGTTACTCATTCCCTCATCACTCCACAGTATGTATACCACCTCACTATCACTTGTCCTTTGCCAGATTGTCTTGTCGTTTCCGCCAAGCTCTCCAGTGAGTGTTGTATTCTAGCCTAGATTTTTGTCCTGCCCAGTTTTTGATCCCTACCTGCCTGTTTACGGATCTCGAGTTCCTGCCTGCTCCCTGTCTGGTTTTGGTTGCCTGTCTGACGGATTTACTGGTTTTGACCCTGCCTGTCCCTGACCTGAATAAACTGAACATTGCTATACACTGGTTGTATCTGAGTCGTGCTATTGGGTTCTGATCTGTACCTGTGATCGTGACAGTACAATCTGGCCAACATGAACCCAGCCGACTCAGCGACAGAACCGCCTACGCACGATATCGTGTTACAACGCCACGAGCAGCAGCTTACCTTCATGGCGGAAGCAATGCAGGAGATGGCCGCTCGTCACGAACGGACCTTTGTGAATCTCCGTGATCATCTTCAGAACCTTCCTGCTACGGTCCAAAGTCCGGAACTAACTCCAGCTTCCGCTGTTCGAATCCAGAGTCCTCCGGCATCGGATGCACGCCTGCCTCCTCAGGAACGCTACTCTGGAGCCCCAGGTTCGTGCAGACCATTCCTGGTCCAATGTTCCCTCGCCTTCGAGCTTCAGCCTTCCGCCTTCCGCCTTCCCAACAGAAAGATCCCGGGTGGCGTATATTCAGGGCTGCACATAACTGGTGCGCAGGTGCGCATGCGCACCTCCGCCAAAAAAAGAGCACCGGGTCATTTGAAACAAAGCGCATTTGCGTACCAACATTGAGAGAGGGAGAGAGAGAAGGGAGAAGAGAAAAGAGAAAATAGAGGAGAGAGGAGAGATGAGAGAGAGAGAAGAGAGAGAGAGAGAAAGATATTTGCGAGTTGCATACATGTATGAACCATGATATGAACTCAGGGTCGGCCCGTAGCACTGGCTAGATGTTCGCCTAGGGCGCCAGATCTGTGGAGGCGCTGCGCTGGCAGTTCTGGAAGGGAAAAAAACATTTTGACCGTTGGGGCTCATCGTAATTTTCGGCCTTGATGTAACAATATTCATAATTAAGTAAATGTAACACCCTTTTCACCCCGGTTACACGTTCCATTTGCCCTGTACGATGGGCGCTATAACGGCCCGTCTACACTACAGGCGTAAAAAAATGCTTTCAACGCTTCGCCCATTCATTTGAATGGGGTGACGTAGGATATTTTCAAACTTCGCCGAACTGCATTGTGGGTAGCATGGCAAGGCGTTGCAAGCATCGCGAGCGTCTATCGGCGTCAAAAGTTGAACAATGTTCAAAAGTTGAACAATGTTCAACTTTTGAGGCTCGATGCTTGCTCGAAGCTGGCGTCAGCCAATCAAATCCCGTTTTTGCAATTCCCGCCAGTACA